CGCTCTTAATGGGCAGCGTTTGTAGAGTTTTATCTGTTGGAATATTTACTGCAATGAAAGAGCAAATGGTTTTCTGCTGGTTTAAAGTGAATTATAAATTAAGTACAAACAAGTATCTGTTTGGTAGAGGGAGAAAAATGTGAACAGTTATCAAAGTCAGGATAATTAGAGTGATTACATTGCAGATAATTCATGTGGAACACTATATGGATAACCTCATGTGTCCAAGTGTAATGGATCATTGCAATTTGTATGGTATAATTTCATTATTTAACACTGTACATACACAGTCCTCTTTTTACTGTGTTACACATGGAGATCATATAAACAAATGTGCTTTATCATCTGCTTAAATGTATAATTACAAACATTTTTTATATATATTATATATATAATGCACGCTACAAGAGTGAAACATGTAATATATAAAAAAAAAACAGTAAAACGTCAATACAAACAAAACCACTTTGAAAATAGTATTTTTGCATTAAGCTGGATACAGTAAAGATAACCTAAGGAGGTAAATAAAATAAAAAGAATTGGTGGAATTTCATATCATTTTTATGTTTCTTCTAGTCTAATTAATAATAAAAGTAGTCTGAGCAGGTAAAGCCAAACTTCTCTTTGCTTATGCATTGACTCATTCACTGCTTGGGAAATATGAAGGGGTTCCTAAATTTAGGGGGCAGAATCCCTCCTACCCCTTAGTTCTGTGTCCTACTACATGCAGAGCCTCTGCAGGGTGCTTGCAGCATTGACTTATGTGCAGCTGAATGTGCAATGCAAGGCTTATTAGATCCCCTGCAGGCTCTGTATTGATGATCTCCTGAAATACAAACACATTTCAGCACCAGATCAAAGTAGTTTGACAAATGCATTCCAACACCCAACCCAGCTCTTCACTAGTTAATTGATATGTGCTGGGCTAGGAACACCAAGATGTGTATTCATGCATAGTGAAGGGGCATGTGTGTGTTTTCTGTGCAAATGGGACAATAAAGAAATGTTATTAGCCTACTTCCTGTGCTGGTCCATTGTTTTTCATTGATTTAAAATGGAAAATACCACATTTGGCCACTAGATGTTGCTAAGTATCATATGAATTTCCATATTTTCAGTTTTAAATCAATGAAAAACATTTGACCAGCACAGGAAATAGCCTAATAATATTTTTTTTTTCAGTTGCACAGAACAAATTGGCTACCATGCACAGCTGCACCAGTTTTTGCACTCTGCAATTTTAGTAAATTAACACAATAGGCTAACATACCCCTAGATGCCCCTAAAAGCAGCGTTTTCACTGCTCAAAGTACATGAAGCCTAAATATCTGCAAGCAAACCAATAAGACTTGCATCAGGTGTTAAACATGCTGTTGGAGCAAAAATGGCAGTATATGTCTGGATTTTTACCATTTAATCCGCCATTCTAAAAAGCACTGTACGAAACAATGCATGTAGGCTCACCAAAGTCTTGATGTATACATCTGCTCATCTGTACTTTGATACCTCCAGAAACGTATGCAGTATGTTGTGTTTCTTTTATTCATTTGTTCCTGTATGATTCAGAACAGTGATCAGTTGGACACTGAAGCATATGTGCATAAGCTTTAGTAAATCAGGACATGTATATTATTTAAAAGAGACTCATATATTTTGTGGACACATATCAAACCTGGAAGAGTCAGTCCTATAAAAGCTTTTAAACATCAGGGCCCATTCACGCCAGCCTAGTCCAATGCAGTACATGAAGTCAAGCAACAATGTGCTACACTAAGATAGCCCATTGTTTCCAAAAGACTGCCTAACACTATAATGGACCAAAAATTGCAAAGAGCACTGGGATGCCATTTAGAATGGCACCACATTGCGGTAATGCATGTTACAACAGTGCAATGATGTGAATGGGTCCTTTGGTGACATGTGGAAGAAGAGAACTATTACAGAAGCACAGGCCAATGATCTTTTGTTGAGATGCCTGAACATGCTTAACCTCCTTGGCGGTATGATTCTTTCCGATTTTTTGTGCTGAAAGTGGTACCATTTTTTTGCATGGAAATATGTAGTTTTTTATTGTAGGCCTGTAATTTTTAGGAATAACTCACTGAAATCTGTACGAACAAGAGTCTATTAAACATTCCAGATATGATAAAATTTGAAACACGAAATCATAAATTATAATTTAATAAATAATCATAAAAAATAATAATAAAATAACAATAAATTTAATTCAATAATATAATCAAACCAAAAACACTGAAATTTGAAATACAGAGGCAAATTCGCACATCGCTGAGCAAAGTCGCAAAATCGTTTTCAGTGTCTGATGACGAATTTCCCCACGAATCATTATCACTCAATTCTGCAAGTGGTTCTGATTTACTATCGCTGCTCTAAAACCGCTTTTGATGTAAAGGGACGCTTTTTGGACGCCATGGACTTTTCTCAGTTTCCAGGCAGAAAGAACATTCAAAATGCAGGCAGGGCACAGGACAAAGCAGTAGGGACAAAATATATGTGAAATGCATTGAAACAGCAATGACAGCAAAATTACATTTTTTAAAAATTTCAAATTTCCCGCCGGTTCCGGCGCCCGTACGTCCCGACGTCACAGGGACCGGAACACAGAAGCCGGATGCCGGCATCGGCTAGAGGAGATGGCCGGGGACGCTGCAGGGGACACATCGTGGGAGCGAAGGACAAGGTAAGTGCTGCAGGGACCCCCAGAGCAGCGCCGCATGGTAAGCCCGAGTGTAGCTCGGGGTTACTGCTTTTGGTATAGAAATTTTACCCCGAGCTACACTCGGGATTACCGCTAAGGAGGTTAAGGGAATAAACTTTCTAGCAGTGTGTGATGCCTTATACAAATGTATCCCGTCACATCTTTATAAGTCTATTTTGATGTAACCTATACATCTCTCCTTACTTTGGAGACATCTCCTCCTGCTTCTTATTGAGTTTGTAGAAGTGAAGGGATATCTTCCTAACTGGACACAAAAAAAAAAAAAACCTTGAGGTCTTTACCATGTCCTACTCTACCCGAACCTAAGTTTGCCTTTACATACAGACCACAAAAGATTTTATTTGTAGGTTTAGCCTGGTGGACTGAATAAACTCTTGGATTCTTATATGGTTTGATTTCTCCAAAATGAAGATCTTCCTGCCATAGTTCTTGATACGCAGACCACATGTTGTATAAGAGGAGTCTAGAGCAGGGTTTCTCAACAAGGGTTCCTCCAGAGATTGCTAGGGGTCCCTTGAGCAGTTTCTGCCCGTCAGATAGGTTCCCACTGACACCAATGATCTTTTTAGTTATCTATAAGGGGGTAATTCTTCCCAACAACCAAAAGTGTACGGAGCATTCTTCCCACTGACCACCACACTAATGTATCATGAGTTGTAGATATAGTCATTTTTGGCAGGGGTTCCCTGTGACCAGAAAGTTATTTCAAGAGTTCCCTTGTGTTGGAAAGGTTGAGGAAGGCTGATCAAGAGCAATGGTTCTCAGCAAAGCCTCCCTCCTGCTGGGCCATATCTTTCTGTACTGTCTTCCACGCACTGGGTCCCCAGCCTTCCCCTGATCTCTGGGGCACCAAGGATCAGGGCAGTGTGGGAGGGGAACAGATGTGGCTGGCACCCTGTAGTTTGTGTGGGATGCCGGTCCATTCAGGCCTCTGTCAGAGCCACACTTATTGTAAGAAAAGATGAAAGACAGAAAAGCTGAAATTAATGAAACAGCCCTGGTTCCACATTTCACTGAGTGTAAACACAAGCTTTACCCAATAAGACAGTTTAAAATCAGCCAATCTATGTTCTAATTTTGTCATATGACAGTACCAGATCTTCTCAACTGCCTGCAATTCCAGTGTGCCTGGTTACATTGTGATTACACATTACACTCAGTGACTGTGAGATTGCAGGCTGTTTCATTAATCAATGGAGTGAAAGATAAAATGAGGATGAGAGAGAGAAAAAGAGAAGGAGTGAGAAAGAGAGTGACAGAGAAAGACTGAAGGAAAGAGGGAGAGAAATCAAAAAGAGAGAGATTATCAGAGAGAGAGAGGGAGAAATTGAGATGGAGAAAGAGAGGAAAAAGGAGGAGAGAGAAACAGACAGATCAAGAATAAGAAAAAATAAAGCTTAAAACAGACAAATAATTTTTGTCATTGTGTCCATTTAAATTACATTAGCTCATAATTTCAACTGATTACTCCCTTTTTACATTACATACATATTTTGCATTCCAATGCTTTTATTGTATGCATATATTTTTACTAGACCTTGGTCTCTAAGGTTGAGATCCACTAGTCTAGATTGTTGTGCACAGCACTTTTACTAACAATTATTAAAATGTGTATTTCTTTAAATACTTGCCCTCCGGAAGATTTACCCCCTTAATGACCAGATAATAGTACAAACACCCCCCCCCCCCCCCAAATGACCCCTTTTTGGAAAGTAGGCACCCCAAGGAATTTGATAAGAGGCATGTTGAGTATTTTGCAGATATCATTTTATCCACAGGGTTTTGAAATGAATAAAAAAAAAGAAAAAAGAAATGTTCATTTTCTTTCTTCATTTTCCAAAAACTTGTGACAACAAATGGGATCTTCAAAATACTCACCATGCCTCTTAGCAAATACCTTGGAGAGTCTACCTTCCAAAAAGGGGTCATTTGGAGGGGTTGCTTCTACTATCCTGGCATTTCAGGGCCAACATTAGAAGCTTATGCCAGACATCACCCACTTTTCTAACCACTTGAAGACCAAGCCCTTTCTGACACTTTTTGTTTACTTGAAAAAAAAAAACAGTTTTTTTTGCTAGAAAATTACTTTTGAAGCCCCAAACATTATATATTTTTTTAACCACGTCCCACCGGCCATATAGTCCAATGACAGGAGCAAGGTGGTTCTCTCGTTCTGGGAGGACGTCATATGACATCCTCCCATTCTCACCGTGCATGCGCGGCTCAGGGAGCGCACAGCGCGGCGACCAGCAGTGCGCTGTGTCCCTCGGACACAACGGATCACCGATCCATGGAAGGAGCCAAAGATGTCGGCTCGGTCCTGTGATCAGCTGTGTCCAATCACAGCTGATCACATGTAAATAGGGAAATGCCGGTTATCGGCATTTCTCTCCCCACGAGCTGTCACGCTGACAGCTCGAGAAGAGAGGAGAGTCGGTAATCAGCATTCCGCGGAGGGGACATCTACACTGATCATCAGAGCACTGATGATTAGTGTGCTCTGATGATCAGTGTAGCCCCAGCAGTGCCACTTGTCAGTGTCCACCAGTGCCAGCTGTCAGTGCTCATCAGTGCCACATCAATGCCACATATCAGTGCCTACCAGTGCACATCAATGCCACATATCAGTGCCCATCTGAGCTGCCTTACAGTGTCACCCATCAGTGCCAGTCAGTGCCACCTATCAATGCCAATCAGTGCCACCTATCAGTGCTGCCAATCAGTGCCAGTCAGTGGCCCCTATCAGTGCCAGTCAGCGCTGCCTATCAGTGTGCATCAGTGCCGCCTATCAGTGCCGGTCAGTGCTGCCTATCAGTGCCAGTCAGTGCCGCCTAACAGTGCCAGTCAGTGCCGCCTAACAGTGCCAGTCAATGCCGCCTAACTGTGCCAGTCAATGCCGCCTATCTGTGCCATGCCATATATCAGTGCTGCCTTTCAGTGCCCATCAGTGATGCCTGTCAATGCCCATCAGTGCCACCTACCAGTGCCTCCTCATCAGTGCCCATCAATGCCATCTATCAGTGTCCATCAGTGCAGCCTATCAGTGCCCATCACTGCAGCCTCATTAGCGCACATCAGTGAAGGAGAAAAATCACTTATTTACATAGTTTTATAACAAAAACTAAGAAAAAAAAAACTTTTTTTTTCCAAAATATTTAGTGGTTTTTGGTTTGTTTAGGAAAAAATAAAAATCCCAGAGGTGATTAAATACCACCAAAAGAAAGCTCTATCTGTCTCAAAAAAATGATAAAAATTTCATATGGGTACAGTGTTGCATGACCGCGCAATTGTCATTCAAAGTGTGACAGCGCTGAAAGCTGAAATTGGCCTGGGCAGGAAAATTCCCATTAAGTGTATATTAATTGGTTTGAGTGAAAGTTATAGAGTCTACACACTATGGTATAAATACTGGAATTTACACAGCTTTTACTTTCTGACTGCCTATCACATTTCTTGAGGTGTTAAAATGCCAGGGCAGTACAACCCCCCCCCCCCTTCCTTTCCTAATGACCCCTTTTTGGAGAGTAGACACCCCAAGGATTATGCTGAGAGGCATGTTGAGCCCAAGAAAGATTTTATTTTTTGTCACAAGTTTTTAAAAATGACAAAAAAAAAAAAAAAATTTTATACAAAGTTGTCACTTATATTATATATTGTTCGCACAAGCCATGGGTATATGTGGAATTACACCCCAAAACACATTCTGCTACTTCTCCCATGTATGGGGATACCACATGTGAGAGACTTTTTTGCAGCCTAGCCACATACAGGCCCCCAAAATCCAATGACCATCTTTAGGCTATCAAAAAGTATATTTCCTCACTACCTATCACAGTTTCCGAGGTCTTGAAAAATAAAATAAAAAAAATAAAATAAAAAATAATATATTTTTGTTTTCGTTTTTAATTTTCCAAAATCTTGTCGCAACAAATGAGATCTGCAAACTACTCAACATACCTCTCAGCAAATAGCTTGGGGTGTCTACTTTCCAAAAAGGATCATATGGGGGTGTTTGAACTGTCCTGACATTTCATCTGCAACGTTAGACGCTTCTGCCACACATTACCCACTCTTCTAACCACTTGAAGACCACGCCTTTTCTGACTTTTTATTTACATGAAAAAATCTGTATCATTTGCTAGAAAATTACTTTGAACCCCCAAATATTATATATGTTTTTAAATAGAGGCTCTAGAGAATAAAATGGTGGGTGATGCAATTTTTTATGTCACACAGTATTTTTATGTCACACAGATTTGTCTCAATTTTAATGCACAGAAACATAATATACAGTTGTGCTCAAAAGTTTACATACCCTGGCAGAAATTGTGAAATTTTGGCATTGATACTGAAAATATGACTGATCATGCCAAAAAATGATCTTTTATTGAAGGAATGATGGTCATATGAAGCCATTTATTATCAAATAGTTGTTTGGCTTCTTTTTAAATCATAATGATAACAGAAATCACCCAAATGGCCATGATCAAAAGTTTACATACCCTGGAATGTTTGGCCTTGGTACAGACACACAAGGTGACACACATGGATTAAAATGCCAGTTAGAGGTTAATGTCAGACATCTGTGGCTTTTTAAATTGCAATTAGTGTCAGTGTATAAATAGTCAATGAGTTTGTTAGCTCTCACTTGGAAGCACTGACTAGGCTAGATACTGAGCCAAGGGGATCAGAAAAGAACTGCGTAACAAGTTAATGGAACTTTATAAAGATGGAAAAGGACATATAAAGATGTCCAAAGCCTTGACTATGCCAATCAGTACTGTTAAATCACCTATTAAGAAGTGGAAAATCTTGGGATCTCTTGATACCAAGCCAAGGTCAGGTAGACCAAGAAAGATTGCAGCCATAACTGACAGAAGAATTGTCTGGGATTCAAAGAAAAACCCACAGGCAACCTGTGGATGAAGTAATCTCTGCCAAAAAAAGTGAAAAAATATATGCCGACGCATAGGAGCAATCAGACCACTGACCACTACATGCCCCCATGCTTGGGCATATACAGTTGCAAGAAAAAATATGTGAACCCATTGGGATTACGTGGTGTTTTGCATGAATTGGGCATAAAATGTGCTCTGAACATCATCTAAGTCACAACAATAGAAGAACACAGTCTGCTGAACATAATACTACACAAACATTAGATGTTGCCATGGTTTAATTGCACATAACATGTAAACATTCACAGTGCAGGGAGGAAAAAGTATGTGAGGCCCTAGCTTAATGAATTCTCCCAGAGCTAATTGGAGCCAGGAGTGAGCCAACCTTGACTCCAATCAGTGTGATGATATTGGATGTGTTGCTGACAGCTGTCCTGCCCTTAAAAAACACACACCTGTTTTGGGTTTACTGGTTTCAAGAAGCACTGTCTGATGTGAACCATGCCTCGCAGAAAAGAGCTCTCAGAAGACCTACGATCAAGAATTGTTGACTTGCATGAAGCTGGAAAGGGTTACAAAAGTATCTCCAAAAGCCTTGATGTTCATGTGTCCACGGTAAGACAGACTGTCTACAAATGGAGAAAGTTTAGCACTGTTGTTACTCTTCCCTAGGCGTGGTCGTCCTGTAAAATGACTGCAAGAGCACAGCGCAGAATGCTGCATGAGGTAAAGAAGAATCCCAGAGTGTCAGCTAAAGACCTACAGAAATCTAAGACACATGCTAACATTTTTGTTGACACATCTACAATAAGGAAAACATTAAACAAGAATGGAGTACATGGGAGGACACCACGGAGGAAGCCATTGCTGTCCAAAAAGAAGATTGCAGCATGTTTGAAGTTTGCAAAAGAGCACCTGGATGTTCCACAGCACTACTGGCAAAATATACTGTGGACAGATGAAACCAAGATTGAGTTGTTTGGGAAGAACACACAACACTATGTGTGGAGAAAAAAAAAGGCACAGCACACCAACATCAAAACCTCATCCCCACTGTAAAACATGGCGGAGGGAGCATCATGGTTTGGGGCTGCTTTGCTGCCTCAGGGCCTGGACGGATTGTTGTCATTGATGGGAAAATGAATTCCAGAGTTTATCAAGACATTTTGCAGGAAAACGTACGACCATCTGTCTGCCAACTGAAGCTCCGCAGAGGATGGGTGATGCAACAGGACAATGACCCAAAGCATACAAGTAATTCAACAAAACAATGGCTGCAACAGTACAGAATATGCCTTCTGGAGTGGCCCAGTCCTGACCTCAACCCGATTGAAATGCTGTGGCATGACCTTAAGAGAGCGATTCACACCAGACATCCCAAGAATATTGCTACACTGAAACAGTTTTGTGAAGAGGAGTGGTCCAAAATTACTACAGATCGTTGTGCAGGTCTGATCTGCAACTACAGGAAATGTTTGGTTGATTTTATTGCTGCCAAAGGAGGGTCAACCAGTTATTAAGTCCAAAGGTTCACATACTTTTTCCCCCCTGCACTGTGAATGTTTACATGTTATGTGCAATTAAACCATGGCAACATCTAATGTTTGTGTGGTATTATGTTCAGCAGACTGTGTTCTTCTATTATTGTGACTTAGATGACGTTCAGAGCACATTTTATGCCCAATTCATGCAAAACTCCACATATTCCCAAGGGGTTCACATACTTTTTCTTGCAACTGTATGTTCTTTTTTTTTTTTTTTTGTTAACTGTGGATGAGAAATCTTCTCCAGCAGCGCTGCATGCACTGAAGAATATATTCTGAAATACAGTGATCAGTGAAAAATTCTATATACTGACACTGTACTAATGGCACTGACTGGGTGACAGGGGTTTTTAAAGGGTTAATAGGGATGATCAATGTGTTTGTGTAAAAAAGTAGTGCTTTTACTCACAGTATGGTGTTCTCTCTTCTCTCCCTGGACTAAAAAGTGTTCAGGAAGAGAAGAGCCAGCTTCCAAAATTCATTGGCCAGGACCCACTGGTGAATTGCTCCTGCAGCAAATGACAAGGGGTTCAGCCCTTCCGCTGCTGCCTGTCTGCAATGTACATTGTCAGCAACTACTAAAGTAAAACATTTTTTATTTTGTCAATTTTGTCATTTAAACATACTTTCGCCAGCGCAGTACAGCATCATGATATGACAGGTGTGGTGGTGATCAGGAACACTGACAGGTGACAGCATGTAGAAACAAAAAAAAAAAAACCCTAAAAAAAAAACCCATTGAGCTATTCTGGGGGGGGGGGGGGGGGGTTCAGAGATTTTTCTTACACTTTGTGTACACAATGCTATGAACTGTCATGAATGCGTTAAATTCATGACAGTTCAGAAAACTAGTGATCTGTGATTGGCTAAAGCTAATCACATAGTAAAGGGGGCTGTGATTGGCCCAGGTACCATGTGATACAATATGAACCAATCACAGCTTTGTGGACATTGTGATTGTGATCACATCTGTCATAGGGGGAGCGTGCTGTGTGCCCCATCAGACACCCAGCTCCCCGCTGTGTCAGTACAGCCAGAGTGAAGTCTCTTTGCCTGTACATGCTGTCTGCCCGCAGTAAAAGTACTGTGGTGGTCGGTAAGTGGTTAAGAAACATATTGTAGAGAAAAGTGTATGCATTTGAGCACTGTGGTTTAAAAAATGAGCAGCATAGTAACCACATACAGTATATACCCAAGTACTATGGAGTATAAAATTTGCAGCAAAGTGTACATAGCTAAACAGTGTAAAATGTATAAAATACTGCAAAGTGTATAAAGCACAGCAATTTGGAATACATAATGTATAGAAAATTTGCTGCAGTTGAGCAGTGTGGAATATAGAGAGATATATCACATTGTACATAGCAGAACATTAAAGGGTATACAGCGTATAGCACAGTCAGAGAACAAAGTCATTTGAGGTATATCATTTACAGCACAGTGTACAGTTAGGTCCATATATATTTGGACACAGGCACAATTTTCACACTTTTGGCTCTGTATGCCACCAAAATAAATTAGAACGAAACAATCCAAATGATTTTGAAGTGCAGACTTTCAGCTTTAATTCAAGGGCTTGAACATAAATATCAAGTACAAATTTTAGGAACTGCAACCATTTTTATACACAGTCCCTCCATTTTCAGGGGCTCAAATGTAATTGGACAAATGAATATAATCAAAAATAAAATGTTCACTTTTAATATTTTGTAGAGAATCTTTTACTGGCAATGACTGCCTGAGTCTGGAACCCATGGACATTACCAAAGACTGGGTTTCCTCCTTTCTGATGCTTTGCCAGGCTCTAACTGCAGCTATCTTCAGTTGTTCTTTGTTTGTGGGTATTTCTGCCTTCAGAAAGTGAAATGCTTGTTGAATTAGGTTGAGATCAGGTGATTGACTCGGCCATTGCAGAATATTCCACTTCTTTTCCTTTCAAAGCTTCTGGGTTTGCTTTTGCAGCATGTTTTGGATCATTAGCCGTCCAATTAACTTTGCTGCATTTGGCTGAATCTGGGCTGACAGTATATCTCTAAACACTGTAGAATTCATCTGTCATTCTGTCTTCTGTCACATCATCAATAAACACCAATGACCCAGTGCCACTGGAAGCCATGCATGCTCATGCCATCACACTGCCTCCGCCATGTTTTACAAAAGAAGTTGTGTGCTTTGGGTCATGAGCTGTTCCAAGCCTTCTCCACACTTTTTTCTTCCCGTCATTCTGGTACAGATTAATCTTAGTTTCATCCATCCAAAGAATGCTTTTCCAGAACTGGTCTGGCTTTTTTAGATGTTTTTTGGCAAATTCTAATCTGGCTTTTCTATTCTTCAGGCTTATGAATGGCTTGCACCTTGTGGTGAACCCTCTTCTATTTGCTCTTGTGAAGTCTTCTCTTGATTGTAGACTTTGACAATGATACATCCACCTCCTGGAGAGTGTCCTTCACTTGTCTGAATGTTGTGAATGGGTTTTTCTTTGCCATAGAGAGATCCTGCAATCATCCACCACTGTTGTCTTCCGTGGACATCCAGCCTGTTTATGTTGCTGAGCTCATCATTTTACCTCAGAATGTACCAAACTGTTGATTTGGCCACTCCTAATGTTGCTGCTCTCTCTCTGATGGATTTTTTTGTTTTTGAAGCCTTACAATTGCCTGTTTCACTTGCATGGACAGCTTCACATGATGTAGGTCCACAGCAATAGATTCCAAATGCAAATACCACACTTAGACACAACTACAGACCTTTTACCTGCTTAATTGATGAAGAAATAATGAAGAAGTAGCCCACACCTGGCCATGAAACAGCTTTTGATTCAATTGTCCAATTACTTTTGGTCCCTTGAAAAAGGGGGGATGGATAATCTTAAAAGCTGTAATTCCTAAACCCTTCCTCCAATGTGGATGTACATACCCTCAAATTAAACCTGAGAGTGTGCACTTTCAGCCCATATCCATTATATAACTATAGCTTGAATATGTTTTGGTAAATAACTGAAAAAAACTAAAATTGTGCCTGCGTCCAAATATATATAGACCTAACTGTATATACAGTAGCTGTACAGTAGGGAGTGTGCAATATAAAGCACAGTGTAGCTGAGCAGTGTTGAACATCTAATGTAAAGCACAATGTGCAAAGCACAATTGTGTAGAGCATGTAATGTATAGCACAGGCGATATATTTAATCACTGTGGAATATACAACATACAGTATAGTACTTACAGCCAAGCACTGCAAGGACATTAAATACCGCATAGTATATACAGTAAATCAGAGTGCAATATACAATGTACAGCAGTTTATTTGGCAGAGCAGTGTGGAATAAATAACAAACTGCACAGTGAATAAAGCCAAGCTGTGTGTTTAGAACACAGCAAATAAGTGGAAGAATGTGGCATATTTAAACAATTAATGTACAATTAATATAAACTGCACGGTAAAGGTTAAACATACAGTTTATGGGAAGTGCCTGGAAAGGGTTTTGCATGCAGCATCCTGGCTGGCATATAAAAATGTGGAGAAAAATATAAAGGCTGTGAATTAAAAAAGGAACTCATATATCAAATGTATTAACTACATACCATTATTACAATACAATATTTTTAATAGCAGTGGTCCTTTAAGAAGCCTTCTCTCCGACTGTTTTTATTAATTTTAACATTCCAAATTTTTCAAGAATGTCATGCACTCTTTACTTTAATAAAAGTACAAGAAAGAAAGAAATCTACATAAAAAGGACAAACAAATTGCTAGGAAGTGATTCAAAAAGCAGGACCCAAAAAATCAGTACATCCTTAATGTTCTGAGCATGGAGTAACTTTGTATGAACACAGTAATGACTGAGAACATTTGCTTTCCATTTGATGTTTTATTACAATTAACATTGAATTCATTACTTAGGAATATTAACTAGAAAGACAGCATCGTTAGCAGGACTAAATACAATTGCTTTACAATACCAGATTTTAAAATCCCCTCGATTAATGAAAAAATAACTATGAGATTGAACTCGGCTGTCATGTGTAAAAAAAGGAATTAAATTGCTTCTTTCTAGATGAATCCTTAACATTTTCCTGGCCATATGGACACTGTAAAAAGAGAAAATGGATTATTATTATTTATCAGTTTATGGCATTAAACCACATCACACAAAATCCAGCACTGCAGTCTCCCTCTAGTTTAGGAATATCAAATGAAAATAGCATAGCGATTTTGTGAAGATCCTATACATAATACAGAATTCCTAATTTTTAACACACTTTGTACCAGCTGCATATTTGTTTTTAATTTTTTGGGAAGTTTAAATAAAAATAATTATGTGTAATCTAGGATGAATATCTGGACAAAACGTAAAACGTAAAATGCAACAAACTAATGCTGCAACACAAACAAACAGAGGTCCCCTACATCCAAATCAATCTATAGCTAGAGATGGCAAATAGATGACTTATTAAGATTTGTTTGCTCTCTAGAGCAGTGAATACAGAAACCTTTACATTATCAAGGTTATGTTAAAAGACACATAAGGATCTGTTTAAAAAAATTCTGCTTTGCGAATGTCTCATCATTCGTGCAAATGTAACAAACAATACCTGCAATGTTTGTAAAATGTGTGTAATGTCAGTTTCTATCTGTTGCTTTTCACTGGGCAAACGAAACATTCCCTAACATTCGATCCTAAGAAAAAATAACCGTAAGAACATTTGAACATAAAAGTTAAGGAACATTCACCAATAAAGAAAACAGCCTAACTCTATAGAGAATAAGAACATTCAACCATCTTATTTGTAGTGCAAAAAAAAATAGAATCTTTAAAATGCACTGTACACTGTAATGCACTGGACACCGCAATGCACTGTACTCTAACGCACTGGACACCAAAATGCACTGTGCTTTGTAACACACTGTACTCTGATACAGTGGACACCACAATGCACTGTAGTCTGTAATGCACTATACTCTGATACACTGAACACTGCAATGCACTGAACACTGTAACGCACTGGACACCAAAATGCACTGTACTCTGTACCGCACTGGACACTGCAATGCACTGTACACTGTAACGCACTGGACACCAAAATGCACTGTACTCTGTACCGCACTGGACATCAAAATGCACTGTACTCTGTACCGCAATGCACTGTACACTGTAACGCCCTGGACGCCGCAATGCACTGTACACTGTAACGCCCTGGACACCGCAATGCACTGTACACTGCAACATACTGTACACTGCAATGCACTGTACTCTGATACACTGGACACCACAATGCGCTGTACACTGATACACTGGACACCACAATGCACTGTACTCTGTAACACACTGTACACTGATACACTGGACAACGCAATGCACTGTACTCTGTAACGCACTAAACTCTGATACACTGGACACCGCAATGCACTGTACTCTGTAACGCACTATACTCTGATACACTGGACACCGCAATGCACTGTACACCAACGCACTGAACATCGCAATGCACTGTACCTGGTGTGCTCTCCTCTCTTGTTGCTCCTCTGGCTGCAGCAGGTGAAATCTGGGGCTTCCAGGCTGCCACTCACTGGGTCCCCGCAACCAAGGACCCAGGAGCAGCCTAGCCATTTGTCGGCCGGCGCCGTGCTTTTTTTTCCCCTAATTTTTTATTTGTCGGCTGGCCCAGCGGGCTGGATAAATGTCTCTGGTGGGCCCTATCCAGCCCATGGGCCATAGTTTGAGAACCCCTGCCCTAGACCTCTTTGTTACTTGTCTTTGGACTCGTTCTATCAGATCAATATTATTTTGTAAGTGAGGTCTCCAGACCTCCTGCCTCTGTTGCTGACTCTGCCCATTTGTATTGCTGTCTTGTTTGCCGCCTGCCCTGACCTCTAACTATTCTCTTGCCTGCCACAATCTCTGCCTGGACACCGACTATTCTCTTGCCTGTGGCCTGCCTTGGCCTGTACTCTGACTACTGTCTGGTGGCTGCCATGACCTCAGCTAAGACACCTACCCTTTGACATATCACACTACTGTCTTAACAGTGAAGTTATCCCATTCCTGTGTCCTCTTGGTGGGGTTATCCTTAGGACCGCAAACTGGTGTCATTTTGCAGCAAAGTACCTCAGGGGACACTAGGGTCACTGGCATACCACTCTTTTGCAAGGTGCTCAGGTGAAGACTGAGTGAGCTGTCCCTTAGACTTTACACCTTGGGTGAGACTGTGTGACCTACAAGGGAACCAACCCTAAAAGTTTGGTGAAGACCAGGCTGTCACACAAACTCTCTGCCTTGGGTGAGTCTGTGTCAGGATGTGTCAGGCCTAAAATGCAATGTGTCCTAAAGTAATAGGATCTGTTCATAAGCAAGTGATGCCACTCTGATGTATATATTCTCTTATGGATAACAAGTAATTGGTGATACTCAGAAAATAAGTTTTAAAAAAGGGAAGGATATGGGTAACTTTAAAGAGTGTACTGGTAGCAGAAATCTAGTAATAGTACTCAGGCTGCTGTTTTGGCATTACCCACATTAATTTACTTGTACAATGTACTTGTATTTGTTCTCTGTAACGCTAGAAGTACTTACATGCCTACATGCACTCCCACAGCATTTGCCTCTTTTCAAATGAGCTATTCTTGTGAAAACAAAATATCCAGTAATGGGATCGGAGTATCCTTCTTGACCTGCCTTAAAACACAAAATGTTTCATGTTAATTCCATGTATTGATTTCTTCTGAAAATAACCTAAAATGTATCTATAACCAATACTTAAACAGTAAAATAATGCCTAATTGGGGCAGTGTTAATTTTGACGTCAGATTTTGTTTTAGTCATAGTCTTTTAAATAAAATGTCATTTTAGTTTTAGCCATATTTTAGTCATCTGAATTGTTTTAGTTTTAGCCGTACTTTAGTTGACTAAAATATGCTGTACATTTTAGTTGACTAAAATTTAATGGGTTTAGTTAAATTATAATGCATTATTTAAGCATCTTTCTAGAATTGCCAAACTCATTATATACTCATTTTTTAAAATATAAAAAAAAAAAAAAAAAAAACTGTATACTCTATTGGCTGTAATGCCATTGCACATATTACCTGAATATATTACCAACATTAAATATTAGGCTCTGGTTATGCTGGAGTTTTCTGCCAACTCCTGGTGGAAACGTCCAGTGTACATAGGAGTATTTTAATACACTTGTTTGCATGAGGCTATCTGGTATTTACATGACAGTTTATCTAGTTAATCTAGCATACCATGTGGGTTTTTATGCAACCTTCCTTCCTACGAACTACATTTTACTCTGCAAATCTGTAAATCTAGTCTCAGGAGATCTCAAAAAAACAAATAACTACTAACTTCACAAAGGGAGTTGGCCTGGTATACTCAGGAGCTACTAGATCAGATGTAATAGGCGGATGGGCTGGGTAAAGTTTCAAGGTGCATTCATACCTGTGAGTGCACCCTGGCCACCATTAGCTGCGAGTAGGCAACCCCACTGAAAGCAACGGGAGGCTGCCAGCTCTCCCAGCTAATCATGCCCACTCACATGTAATCTCTCAAGAAGCAATTACATGAGTAATCGACCTTGGACGTAGATTGCTTGCTTTCAATGGGGCTGCCTATTCATGGGAACCCCCACTGAGGTTCTCGCAGCTGTTCTCGCAAATGTGAATGCACCCTTAAATGATACATTTTGCTTTTGACTGCAGTATATACTTTATAAAGTTCCTTTGTACTAGATAGCAGCAGTAAATGACATGACCAATACACTAGGAAATCAGAAGATGAATGTTTCAATGCTAAAGTGTATCCATTTTGATAAACATTCTAAAATCCAATGAAGCACAAAACATGCAAAAAATTTGGATTCTGCACAGGTGTAAATGAAAACATACGCTGGCAGAAAAGTCTTGAAATTGACTGCAGGCAAAAATGCCATTTTCACAGGGCAGTCTTCATACTAAAAGTGGTATTAAACCCAAAACCGAAAATGCAATATATTACAGATTATCAATTTTTAAACATGGTGGCTGTGTTAGCCTTTTTTTTCTATTTTCACCTAAAAACACACTTCCTTTCTTAGGGTGTCTCCCCCATAGACGGAGGAGCAATGAAGACACTCTTATTGTCACACTGGGGAGAGGGTATTGTCAGACTAGTAGAGTTACATGGACATGACTAAAAAATTTAAACTGAACTCCAGATAATACCTTTAAACGATTACAGCAACAGTTTTTTCTTTTTGGGATAAAGGTTTTACATAAATAAATAGAAGTTGACCATTGTAAGCACCCCTGTCAATGACAAATGGTTTGTCTAAACCCCCTAATTGCCACTTTTGCTGGACAGCTTGTTCTGTAAAAGGAAGCTGAAAAATATCAGACTTAATGGCTGGATCAGCAGGTGCATATAAATGAAAAAAGAAAAATAATGAAGGCACCGCATCTTAGAATTAGTAAGCTGCAATATATAACATTTTAGTTTTTGAGCTTAATACCACTTTAAGGGCCCATTTAGATATAGGCGTTTTTGTAGAGTTACTTTTTTTCATAGAGTTAGGCAGGTGTATTGTCATGCTTCAACATGCATTTCCTTTGTGCACTGGCATGCATTTTGAGGCATGTTTTAACATGCTATAAATTCGCTCTGTGCCATGGTATGGCACAGAGCGGCTACTTACCTCCTCTTCTGGGGTCCCCCACCAGCCCTGTTTACTCTTCTTTTGTGTGCACCTCCATAGCAAGCTGCTTGTTTTTGGAGCACACCTGTGGGCTCTTATCTCAAAAAGTAATGTTGCCAAGTGTATACATATAAAAAAAACAGTGCTCAAACCATTATACCCTGTTCCAAATTATTATGCAAATGATATTTTTCTCATTTACCTAAATAATTGATGTAAATAACAGTCAGCATAATTCTCATGTTATCAACTATTAAGAGTACAATTCAAATTTTATTGAAAAAAACTTCCTAATGATAACAGTATTTTTTTTAAACATAAAAAACTTACAATGCACTGTTCCAAATTATTACGCACAGTAAGCTGCAAAACATTTTATAGGTTGTAAAGAACTGAAAATTGTCATTTGTTGTGTTTGCAGCATAATATACTTAAATCAAAAGCCATTTCAATCAAACTTTTAACAACATTTTAACTTTTTAAACATTTTAACAGGTCACGTTACATTTTAACATAGGACCCCTTATTTGATAGCAGCTTCACAAGTCTTGCATCCATTGAACTTGTGAGTTTTTGGACAGTTTCTGCTTGAATTTGTTTGAAAGATGTCAGAATAGCCTCCCAGAGCTGCTATTTGGATGTAAACTGCCTCCCACCCTCATAGATCTTTTGCTTGAGGATGCTCCAAAGGTTCTCAATAGGATTGAGGTCAGGGGAGGATGGAGGCCACACCATGACTTTCTCTCCTTTTATCCCCATAGCAGCCATTGACGCAGAGGTATTCTTTGTAGCATGAGATGGTGCATTGTCATGCATGAAGATGATTTTATTACGGAAAGCATAGTTCTTCCTTCTGTACCAGGGAAGAAAGTGGTCAGTCATAAACTCCACATACTTTGCAGAGGTCATCTTTACACCTTCGGACCCTAAATGGGCCGACCAGCTCTGTTCCCATGATTCCGGCCCAAAACATGACTCCACCACTGCCTTGCTGACATCGCAGCCTTGTTGGAACAGGTTGGCCATCCACCAACCATCCACTACTCATCCATCTGGACCATCCAGGGTTGCACGGCACTCATCAGTGAACAGGAATGTTTGAAAATTAGTCTTAATGTATTTTTCTGCCCATAGCAGCCGTTTCTGCTTGTGAGCATTGGTTAGTGGTGGCCCAATAGAAGGTTTATGCACAGTTGCAAGACTCTGGAGGACTCTACACCTTGATGTCCGTGGGACTCCAGAGGCACCAGCAGCTTCAAATATCTGTTTGCTGCTATGTAATGGTATTTTAGCAGCTGCTCTCTTGATCCGATGCATGGATCTGGCAGAATATCAAGGTCCTACCTTTCCTCAGGGCTTGTGCTGCTCCATGTGCTGGCATCCATCATAGGTCTGCAAAGCATTGTGGGATCCTTTATGCTTTCAGCCCTCTGCGGCTCCTCCTAGGAGTTGGCGGCTTATCACATTTAAGTCTGTTTACAGCTGTCCATTGCATTTGTGTCCTGTCTGTTGCACAGCAGCAAGCTCCTGTTCGGTTAACTCTTTGCTCTCCAGGATACCGACTCGGCTCTGGTGACCATTTTTCCTGGCTCTGACCCCGGCTCTGGCGACCATTCTTCCTGGCTTCTGACCCTGGCTCTGGCGACCATTCTTCCTGGCTTCTGACCCCGGCTTTGGCTATGATTCCCGCTGGTTCTCGACTTGATTATCCTGGAAGACGACCTCGGCAGGAGAACTTCTGTCCTACCAAGTCATCCGTTGTTGCTGTCGGACTTGCATAGACTTTTGCCTTGTTTCTGTGTAAATAAACCTACCTTTAATCACACCTCCTTGTGTGTCTGGCTCCTCGCTCCGACACAGAAATCTTCCTCAATGTGCCTTTATCTGCACAAACCCGTCTCTGCTCTGAATCAGCCACAAATCTCTTAATAGTGTGATGATCACGCTTAAGTTTTCGTGAAATATCTAATGTTTTCATAACTCGTCCAAGGCATTGAACTATTGCACTCTTTTCGGCAGCAGAGAGATTCTTTTTCTTCCCCATATTGCTTGAAAATGGTGCTCTGCTTAATAATGTGGAACACCCTCCTTTAGTAGTTTTTCCCTAAATTGGGCTCACCTGCCAATCTAATTATCACAGGTGTCCGAGCTTGTTTTCAGTGATCAAAAGAGCCCTGACACACAATGCCATCCATGAGTTACACTGAAAAACAAAATAATTTAATCTTTGTGACACTTAAATAGAATTTGCATAATAATTTGGAACACAGTGTAGATATATAAAAACCACAGTCCAACATAAATTAAAGCTCATAAAGCCCACCATGAATGAAATGAATTCTCTTCATACCCCAAACGTGCACCAGCCATCTTATAGTCATGCAGCAGCTTACCAGGCAATCAGACCCCACATCACAAGAGGTCTGTCAGCACTTTTAGATGACAAATCCCAGCTAGATGGATGTTACCAGCTTTCACTCACTCACAGCTGAATTGTGCTTTGAATCTCTCTCCCCAGTGGCATGCCACAAACAATCACTGGATGCACCTCTTATAAAAATGCCTCAGCACCACAAAGAGATACCAAGGGAAAAGGAAGGAAATCCCATAGTGGAGTACAGGTAAAACACTGTTTACCATGAAACTCAGTGGGTACTCACAAGTGCTAAAAGATTGCAGCATGTCAGAGACACTCGCCGGCTCTCCGGACAGATGTGATGATGTCATCACTAGGCTCCTCCCTATGTGTTTCGTCCAATGGGACATCTTCTAAGGGCATTGCAAGTCCTGTTACTTTTTCCTTGGTATGTCTTTGTGGTGCTGAGGCATTTTTATATGATGACCATCCAGTGATTGTTTGGGGCATGCCGCTGGGAAAAGAGAGAGATATTCAAGGCACAATCAGCTGAGGTGGAGCGAAAGCTGGGACCATCCATCCATCCAGTCATCTAATAGTGCTGTCGGACCTCATGTAATGTAGGGTCTGATTGTCTGGTCAGCT